CGTGTGTGCTGTGTGACTGTTGCATTCAAAATGACTGGGCAAGTAGGGCAATGAATCTGCATCAGATTTTGTGTCAAGCTTCAGTATTCCTCCGTGGAAACTACTCAGATGATTCAGAAGTCCACAGCTATGGGCAACTAGGATTGGAAGCTTCATCACAGCAATATGCCCACTCATGTATTGTGTCTCATGCAGTTTTTTGGCGAAACATCAAATCACCCAGGTGACTTAGCCCCCCTATAGCCCAGATTCGGCACCTTGTGACTTCTGGCTTTTCCCAAAATTAAAATCACTTTTGAAAGGAAAGAGATTTCAGACCATCAATTGAGGTTCAGGAAAATATGACAGAGCAGCTGATGGTAGTTGGGAGAACTATGTGAGGTTGCGAGGTGCCTGCTTTGAAGGGGACTGAGGTGTCATTGTTCTACATACAATGCTTCTTGTATCTTCTTCAACGAATGTTCCTATTTCATATTACATGGATTGATACCTTCTGGACAGACCTCGTAGTATTCCATGCTATTTATGGTGTTCTGGGCTGTGTACTGTGCTCAGTTTTTATGTTCTAGGAGAGAGAGATAGTTAAATGCATAGTTACTCTTCAGTGTAAGAAGTATTAGGCCATAACTTTGTCCTACTCATCATTGTATCCCTAATCCTAGGCCACTGTCTGATACATGACAACGAGACTGACACAGTTAATGTGCATTGAGAAAGATACTATGGGCCAGGCATTGTACTAAGCACTTTATTCTCAACATAATCCCCACAACAAGATTACAAAGTAAGTACTAGTATAATCTCAATTTTAAAGGTGTGGAAAGTAAGGCACAGAGCAATTAAACAACATACCCAAAGTCACACAGCTAGTAAGGGAAAGAGTCAGGATATAATCAAAGCAGAGCAACTCTGTTGCCTCTAAACATTTGTTGAGTGAGTGGATGGATGAATGAGAGGAGGGAAGGGAAGGAGGTGGGGGAGAGAGAGAATGTGTGGACGAGTGAGCAAGCTAAAGGCGATAGTCGGCTCTGAGTAAAACGGGGTCCACGGGCGGCATGAGTTGGCCCTACTCTGGAAGGGAAGTAACCATGAAAAGCTTTGTAAGGAAGCAGTGCTTAAACTGAACATTGCGAGATGAATAGCTAGTTGCAGGGCAGGGCAGGGCTAGGCAGGGCAGGGCAGAGCTAAGGCTGGCCCTTCTGGATCAGATCCTTTCCCTCACCCACAGACATTCTCCTGTAGCAGTCCCATCACCACTGCATCGTGAGTTTTTCTCTTATTCTAAGAAGCTTATAAATATGATAAAATATTTCCTATTCTCAAAAAACATACGTTCCTTGTTTCTTTCCTCCAGCTATCGCCCCATTTCTACGTCTCCATTTATAGCAAAGCCCCTAAAAATAGTTTATATCCTGTGACTCCAATTCTTCTGTTTTCTCTTAAACCCAAGGAAGCCAGCCTTTTGTCCCCTCACCCCTACCCCTCCAGTGAAAGCTCTTTTCAAGGTCAGGAGTAACTTCACGTTGCCAGATCCAGCTGTCAGATGTAGGGCCATACCAGGCCTACTGCCGTGTTTGACACGGTTGGTCCCTCTGTCCTTGAGCCACTTCCTCATCTTGGCAACTGAGACATCACACTCTCCTGCTACGTGTTCTGCCTCCTGGATGCTTCTTTCGGGCCCTTGCAATGTTCCTCCCCACCTCCCATTTTAAGGATCAAATGCTGACCCTTCAGATTCATACGTCAATCAAGGCACTCTCCCACTATAAATCACTCAGTGACTCGCCCCTATGACAGAATCCAAACTTGAGCCAAGTGTCCAAAGCCTCCATGACCTGGCTGCTTGCCTCTGCCACCTCATCCTTCATGGTCCATTTGTGGTGCTCAGAGGACAGCCAGCCCCTCCAAATGGGCTTTCTCACCACATCCTCTCATGATCCCTGGGAATTGAGTGAGAATCAGTTTTTCCGTCACTTGCCAAGGTCACATAGCTTGCCAGTGTCCTCTGAGAACGTTTCTGATTCCAGATCCTATGCTCTTCCCATTTACAACCCGTTGCTTGGCCTGATTCCTTAAACTTGGTGCTTCTGATTGAAGCAGAGTAATTGAAGTCTGGTTCCTTCTTTTGGACCCTAGTCTGTCCATCTGGATTTCCTCTTGAGACTGCAGCGGTTCACACTCTTCACCCCAGGGCTTGGTAGTCACGTTTGTAGGACAATGGGTGCTCTTACTGGTGGAAATGCTAAATCTCCCAGAATGAAAGGCCAGCTGCAGAGCAAGAGAAGAAACAAGGGCTGAATGATTTGATCAGACATCTGTGGGGGCCTCCTGGCATTTGCAGTGTGAGTGCCTTAGAGAAACTAACTATTCTGGCCCGAGGGAGTTGGCAACTCTTAGTCTCAGTGGTTTTGACCGCAAACTGCCCCAGAGGTCCCAGCCTGCCTTATGACTCACAATCCCCAACACTCCCCCTATTCTTCTCTCACAGGGACAGTCTGAGGCATTTTAATTTGGTAGTAACTTGACCGGCCCACTGTCCCCAGGGCTGTTGTGTTTTTGAAGTTACTGTTGCTTTCTGAATGGGAGGGGGTTGATTTAGAGCTGCCCGTTTTTGTATGTGAGCACCTTGCCCTGCCATGGCAAGAACCGCTCCCGCTGGGTTCCGGCTCCCATGCGCTCAGCCTGCCAGTGCTCCCCCTTCAACACTGTGGACTCACCCCTGAGTCCACGGCCCCTGGACTGTCCCATAGCCCTTATTCTTGGAGCACCTAGCCCAGATTTGATGGTGTAAATTTGACAGGAGAGAGGTAGCCAAAGATTTGTCTCTTACTGTACATGTATTTCTGTGATGCATTGCCTTTAAGAGGCAACTGCCATTCATCTTTCTCTTGTTTGTGAAACTTTCTGGAATCCCAAAAGAACAAGGGAGCCCCACTGGGCAAGGTAGGCAAGCAGATGGTGGGAGGTTGGAAGACAAGGGTAGGAGGGACTCGTTGCCTTGCTGCGCACACACACCCTCCTTGACCCGTCCTCTGTCTGACCCATCTCCAATCGCACGGACCACTTGCGCGCTACCCCGGACTCTGTTTCCCTCCGTGCCAGTGGTAGTACTATGATAAGAGCTCCCGCACTGGTGTTAGAAACACCAGCATCTGCCACTTACTAGCTGCGTGACCTTGGAGAAGTCTCTTCATCTTTCTGAGCTTGTATGGAAATTAATAATGAATAGCACCTACTCACATGGCTGTTGAGAGGAGTAATCGAAAAACTCTTTAACCTTTTAATCCCTGTGCCTAACTCAAAAGCTTCCAGTAAGTTTAGTAATTGAACTGAAGTTTATGTTTTGTTTCTGAAATATAGTTGTTTACATAAAGAAATAAAGTTATGTAAATTACCTTGTTAAGCCTTTGACTTTATTTTGCCTACCAAATAAAGTTCCAACTCTGGCTTGTCACTCAGCATTTGCTTTTGCATTTCAGGCTTTAAATTTCATTGACAGAGAAGGCTAAAAAAAAAAAACCCATAGACTTCTAGAAGAACTGGCACATGCATACAAATGAGTTTGTCTAGTTTCACTGAGCAGTTACTCTGTGGAGGACCCTGGGCTAGGCCCTCGGGGGCACAGGAGTGAATCACGCATGGCATATGACAGGCCGAGACATCGTCATTTCTGGCTCTCCAGTACAGGCGCCAGCACCCCCCAACACTGGCCCCCCACACCACCACTGCCACCTTATATGACCCCACCTAACCCCTGAGAAAGGCAGCCCGAGGGGAAACTTGCCCCTGGGCCCCAGCGCACTAGAGCAGCTGGGAGTCAGAGTGATCAGAGTTTTGGCATTGGGCCCAAGGGTGGAGGCGGGGGAGGTTGAGACTGGGAACTGGCGACCAGCCAGGGCTTCCCAGGTGCCCCAGCAGTTACTGAATGTGTCCTGTTCTTCCGTTGCAGTTTTCTCTAGACTGCTCCAGCCCCACATCAAACACATAAAGGCATCGAAGCCCAAAGATGTGAGGTGACTACAGCCATACAGGGCTAGAGTACACAAGTCTTCTGAAAAACATTCAGCCATCTCTAGCTTGTGCGTTCCTAAGACTGTCTCCGTTCCTGCCCAAGTAGAGTGAGACCGTCAGGGTCATTTCATTCCCTCATAAAATTATAGGGGTCTCCCGTATAACCCATTCTGTGCGAGGTACTGGGGACGCAGGGTTAAATCTTGACTCTGAGCTCAGGAAATCACAGCACGAAGAGGGAGACCTGCTACCAGCAATCACAGCACAGTACAGGAAGTGCTGATGGGGGTAAGCATGTAGTGTGGGTGGCAAGGGGCAGACTGTAGGAACACAGAGGGGGCACTTAGCCCAGTCTGGAGGTCAGGAAATTACTCCCAGCAAAGCTGACATTTGGGCTTAGTTTTGAAAACCCAGTAGGCAAAAGCCAAGTGGAGAATGAGAAGGGAGCACATTCCAGGCAGAGAGAACAGAAGAGCACAAGAGCGTTCTCCGCTAAACATCTGACGATTTCAGTAATGGCCCTAACGTACATGTGATCCATACTCGGCACCGTGAGCCGTCCCCACTGGCTGGGTAAAGCTGGATGTGTGGGAACACAGGAGTGTTGAGAGGGCAGCGCTGCAGGCTTTACCAAAGCCTGAGCAGCTCTCTGTTAGACCTCCAGGCTCCACTCTCCCAGCCTGAGAGCCTGGATGGAGTTCCTGATGCTCTTGGTATCAGTGCTACTGCAAAGAATCTATTCAAATGCAATGAGTTCCTTTTGCCAAATTCCATTGACAGGCTTTGCTTATTTACTCCCTATTCTTCTAGGGTTTTTGATTTGGGGGCTGGGGGGTTACCCCCATGAAGCCTTGGTATGTAAGAGGGACTTAAATGCTGGTTGTGGGGAAGCTTTATGTCAAGTTTAAATACCTACAGCTCTTCCTAAATTAATAACCCACTGACTGCTGAGTGCCTGGCAAGCTGTAACTTTCCTTCTCTTCCCATAGGCCTGCAGAGTTAGCCACCAAGTACGCAAACTTTTCAGAGGGAGCTTGCAAGCCTGGCTATGCTTCCGCCCTGATGACTGCCATCTTCCCCCGGTGAGTGCTCCTCTTTCTTCCCACGGTCTACACAGCCTGCCTGGCCCATGATGCAGGAGCCAGAAGCCTGCCCTCATGGCAAGTGGTGTGCTTCAGAGAAAACAAGATTCCGTTCCAACTTCCTTCCTGCATCCTCAAGTCTGTTAGTACCTGGAAAGGACTTTGCTTTTAGTTGGTTCCCACCCCAATTTCACTCTCTGGCCTTGCTGCGCTCTAACCCCCCGTTCGCCTACCAGCGCTGCTTGTTGCTGTGGAGGAGAGGGAGGAGGTAGAATGTGTGTGGTTGCCCTGTGGGAGCCAGGTTTCCAGAGGCAGCCAGACAGGGCGATCCAGCACAGAAGCTCCTAGTCGTAGTATCAGTGGCCAAACTTTTTTGGAAACTAGGAGAGACCAAAGGGGAGTTTCTGAGTCTGGCTGTTTTGGCATCTTCTCTTTTTGTCCATTTTGCTTTCTGGATTCCTGATTTCCTTGGTAATAGGCTTACTGAGAAAAGCTGTGTCAAACCCTGGCAGGTCCTTTTACCAAATGCTGCTGAAGGGACCTCAGTTACTTACCTGCCTTTCCTTTCGGGTTTTCTTTTCCTGAAGCCTTAGTTGTGGAGAAGGGCCCGACGTGCTGAGGTTGTCTTGCCTGCAGCCTGGAGTGTGGGGAGACTGTCCAGGATCATTTTGTCCCTTCAGAAAGTTGTGGGAGTGTCTGACCTGGCGGCACTTGAGGAAGGGCTGCTGGGGACCCTCTGGGAGTTGGGATACAGCACTTGGATCGCGGAGCAGCCCTAGGGGTGGGCTCAGATCCCTGAGGAAGGGCTTGCACCCCTCCCTCGGAAGGCTGAGGTTAGGGCACAAGGTGCGCTTGCACAGCGATGCTGAGAAACACTTGCCCAAACGTAATTTCAGAACATTTGGGTTTTACACTCCTTTTCTTTTTCTAACTGAGCGGTGCCAGCTCAGCTCCTTGTGTAAAATGGGGTCTCTGCTGCTTGAGTATCTGGTGTTCAGGAAGAGCTCTCTTTGTCCAGGGTTTGCCTCTTAATTGACTCCAAACATTTTGCTTCCCCCAGCTTTTCACTGAGCACCTCTAAGTGTCTGGCTCCACGTTCCATATTCTCACGTGTGTTTTCTCAGGCCTGCGTGACTCAGTCCCCTGGGCCAGACACCTGTGAGTTTTCCTTGACTTGTAGTTTCTTTGGCTTTTTCTAACTAAAAGTAATACAAGCATGTGATTTATTTTTAAAGACTCAAACAGCATGGAGGGTGTATTCTCCCACTCTAGACCCGTCCCCCAGAGACAGTCAACATAATAAATGGGAACATACTGCATCTTGCTTTTTGCTAACAGTATATGTTAAGAGATTATCCCACTACATTTATGGATCCATCTTATTTTTTAAATGATTTTATAATATATAATTGTATGGATGTATCGTACTTTTTCCTGTTTAAAAAGTAAGATTTATTGAAGGTTAATTTACACACAATAAAAGGTACTTTTTAATGTAGTTGTTTGAATTTTGACAAATGCATACCTTTGCGTAACTGCAACAATCATAGAACTTCCATCATCACCCCAGCAGTTTCTTTGTGCCCCTTTGCCCTGAGTCCCCAGCCTCTGACAAATACTGATCAGTTTTCTGTCCCTATAATATTTCTAGAGTGTCACATAATTGGGGCCGTACATTATGTAGCCTTTTGAGTCTGCCTCTTTCATTGATTAAAACGCAAGAGCCATCCAGGTGTTGTGCGTGTCTGTTGTTTGTCCCTCTTCATTGCTGAGTAGTATTCCCTTGTGTGTGTGTAACCATCTGCTTATCTACTCAGTGGTCAAAGGACATTTGGGTTAGCTCCAGTTTTTAGTTATTAAAACAGAGTCACTATAAATATTTGCATGTGGAATGGATGCTCCACTTTTATAAGAAATGGCCACACTTTTCCAAAGGAACCACATTGCTTTGCTTTCCCGAAAGCCGGCCATGAGTGAGCATTCCAGGGCTCCTGCACCCGTGCTGTCGGGCTTTTCAGTTTCAGCCCTTCTGGTAGGTTTGGGGCAGCAGTTCACCGTGACTGTAACTTGCATGTTCCTAATGACTCATGATGTTAAGAATCATTTTCATGTGCTTTTTTTGACATTCTTTTGTCTTTGGGAAGCATCCAGATCTGTTGCCATCTTTGGACTCTGTCTCCTCGTTGAACTGTGAGAGGACTGCGTCCTGCAGTCCGCATAGAAGCCCTCCATCAGGTGATCTGCGAGTGTTTGCTTCCCGCCCATAGCTTGTCTCTTCTTTCTCTTAACAATGTCTGTCATAGAACAGGAGTTTTTAATCTCAATGAAGCCTAATTTACCAATTCTTTTGTTTATGGAGTTTGCATTTATTGTTTTATCTAAGAATTTTTTCCATAATCCAAGGTTAAAAGGTTTTTCCTAGATTTTTTCTAGAATTTATATAGGTTTAGCTCTTTCATTTAGGCCTATGACCCATTTCAAGTTAATTTTTGTATATAGTGAAAGGTAAGGGTTGAGGTTCATTTTTTACATGTGGCTGTTCAATTATTCCAGAGCCATCTGTTAAAGACTAGCCTTTCCCCACTGAACACCTCAGCTGCCTGTTGACAGTTAAACGTGTGTGTGGGTCTGTTCCTCGTTGTGGTCTCTTGATCTCTGTGTCTGCCTTGCACCAGTTATAATTGTAATACACTCGTAATCATATTTCTTTTAATGATGACAGTTTTATTTCTTCCTTTTGAATCAAATGCCTTTTACTCCTTTTTCTTGCCTTGCTACACTGGCTGGACTAAGTGCAGCGTTGAGTCAGTGAAGGGGGATGAACACACTGTACTGCCTTGTGCCCGAGGAACTGCCTTGTTCCAGCAGGAACGCATTTAGTCTCTCGCCATTGAGGTCTTAGCTGTGGGTTTCTCCACAGATACCCTTTCTCAGGCGGAAGAAGTTCTCTTGTTCCTCGCTTGTTGAGAAATTTTCTCACAAATAGATGTTGAATTTTGTCAAATGCTTTTTCTGTCTTCTGAGGCGACCATATGTTTTTTTTTTTTAAATCTATTAATATAACAAAATCACATTGATTTTTTTATCTATTGATTTTTTAATGTTAAAACAAACTTTTATTTCTAAAATAAACTTCATTTGGTCCTAATTTATTATTCTTTTCATGTATTGCTGAATCAACTTACTAATATTTTGTTAAGGATTTTTGTCTCCCTCTTCATGAAAGATATTGGTCTATAATTTTATTTTCTCATAGTATCTTTATTTTTGGTATCAGAGTAAAGCTGACCTCATAAGAGTAAGGAGAAAACTATTCTTTTATCTGCAGTTCTCTGAAAGTTTTATGTAGAGTTGATAATATTTTCTCTTAAATGTTTGATGGAGTTCATCACCAAAGACATCTAGGCCTACAGTTTTCTCTGTGGAAAAGGTTTTTTTTATTAAGAATTTAATTTCTGTAATAGATGTGGGGCGTTCATATCTCAACTCAGGTTTTCCTATTTCTTCTTTGGTAGTTTGTGTCTTTCAAGAAATTTGTACATTTCATTGCACAAAATTAAAGTTGTTGAATTTATTGACATAAAATTGTTCATAATATTCTTTTGTTATTCCTTGAATGCCTGGGATCTCTAGAGATATCTTCTCTTTCATATGTGATGTTGGTAATTTGTATTTTTTTCTCTTTTTTCCATAAGCTGCATGGTTAGGGGTATATTGTTTTTATTGATCTCAAAGAACTAGTTTTTGGATTCATTGAATTTTCTTTTATTATTTTTTCACTATGTTGTTGATGTTACCTTAGTATTTCCTATGTTCCACTTATTTAGGGTTTAATTTGTTCTTTTTTGTCTTACAGTTTCTTAAGGTAGAAGGTTACACCATTGATTTGATTTTTTTCTAATATAAGCATTTAATGCTATAAATTTTCCTTTAGGTTCTTATGAACTTTTTTGCTTAGTTTATGAATATTTGAGGATGTCCCGGATATCTTTTACTTTTTAAAGATTTAATTTACTTATTTTTAGAAAGAGAAGAAGGGAGGGAGATAGAGGGGGAGAGAAACATCAGTGTGTGGTTGCCTCTGGAGTGCCCCCTGCTGGGGACCTTGCCCCCAACCCAGGCATGTGCCCTGACTGGGATATGAACAGGCAACTTTTTGGTTCTCAAGCCAATACCCAGTCCACTAAGTCACACCAGCCAGGGCCAGATAGCTTTATCTTTATGTTATAGATTTCTACTATATTTTTGTTGTGATCAAAGAATATACTTTGTATGATTTTAATACTTTTAAATTGATAGAGATCTGAATTATGGGATAATATAAGGTCTGCCCTTTTTTAAAAAAGATTTTAAAATTTATTTTTAGAGAGGGGAAGAGTGGGAGAGAAACATCAATGTGTGATTACCTCTCATACGTACCCCACTGGGGACCCGCCCACAACCCAGTCACGTGACCTGACTGGGACTTGAACTTGCAACCCTTTGGTTCTCAAGCCGGCACTCAATCCACTGAGCCACACCAGTCAATCCACTGAGCCACACCAGCCAGAGCAAAATATGGTCTATCTTGGTGAGCATTCTGTGCATTTGATAAAAATGTTTCTGCTGTTACTGGGTGTTCTCTACATGGCAGTTAGATTTGTTGATAGGGTTTGTAAATCTCTCCTATATCCTGACTGATTTTCTGTCAGTTGCTGACAGAGGGATGTGTAAGTCTCCATTTATCAACTCTGCTTCATGCATTTTGAAGCTCCGCCATTTAGTACATACACATATAGGATTATTGTACCCCCCCTTGCAGAACTGATTCCTTCATTATTCTGACATGTCTCTTTTTCCCTGGTAACAATCCTTGTGCTGAAATCTTTCATGTTTGATATTATTATAACCATTCCAGCCTTTTAAAAATTAGCTTCATCATGTTATATGTTTTTTTATCCTTTTACATTTTTTTGGTGGAAAAGGAGTATGTTTGTGTTTACTCTTGAGCTCAGAGAAGT